AAACCGAGAGGAAAAGGAGTAGATCGTAGAGAGATCCTACCCTAAAATCATTTCATTAAGAATCTGAAATGACTAAACTAAGTAAGAAAACCCGATCTATGAACTACAGCTGATTGATTTTAAAACTACGGACTTGAATAATTATGCTGTTAACGGCGAGAACTGTGGCTACATTACTAGAGCTTGGCTGGTGAGTTGGTGAACTAGGAAGGAAGATATAGGTTGGACTGTAAAAAGCTATGAATCAGATACAATACTCAGCTAATTGACTAAGTTACCCTCCTTCACTATAGCAGTCATTTTGCAGCTGAGAAGATTCTCCTACAATTTAATTCTAAAATCCTCATCTATTCTGCATCTCTTTCTCATAACAATCATTTCCTGTTCTTTCCATTCAGAAGAATATCTCGACAACACATACCTGTTCGCAAATAATTGATATCTCCACCATCAAAATCTTTGACCAAAGGTGCTGCAGCATGTGAACATTCTGTTCTTTCAGCTAGCTTTTTGAACGAGGAAAAGAAAGTTGTGATGGGGTAGTTGCACCCAAAACTAAAGTTGTGATTGTAGAGAAAGCCTACAATTAACTATGAGGACTAATACTGTTGTTGTATCTCAGCATTTTAAACATAACAAAGAATTAAGGAAGTTACACTATTCCATAAACTGTTTTTCATCACACCATGTTAACATAAAGCAAAGTAACTCGGCACTTTATACATGCACCGTATCTGAAACTTTTGGTATCCATGCATAACCATCCGCTTTGCTGGTATGAATCTTTCAAAGCCTAAGAGTGTCAATTAGAAAGATCAACTAATATAATATACATCGCACCCATACGCTTCTCATGTATTTGCTTCTCATTGTAGATGATGCTTTGATACAAAGATCAATGTGATAGTTGAAACAAATCAGCAAATGTAGGACAGGATATTATTGTTAGCCCCCCCCCCCCACCACACACACACACACCCACACCCCAAAAAAATCTTATGTTTCTTTCTGTTTTTCTACTTCTCTCTTGTAAAACAGGGAAAATAGGACTTCCAAAAATTTTAAAGAACAGCCAACAGAGGATGTAACTGCCCTTCTTTTCTTTTTTTTTTGAATATGATGCATAGGGGACACCTGAAAATCCTCAATATAAAGAACTTGACATTTTAGTGACAGTTACTTAATTTTCTGATATTTCTTTCATAATTTGAGATTTCACCAACTGCCCTTTGTAGGTACAGCAAGCAACTGGTGCTCGCAACCTTTCAGTGGTTCCCTTGTGCATCCATTTTCAGCTGATACCGACTATTTTGACTACATAGTAACATGAAGATATTCAATCATCAAGGACTCATGTCACCATGCAATTAATTTAATATGATTCTGGTTTACGGGACAAAATGTTGATTTCACGTGAGACAGTGGGTTTCAAGATAAACCAATAGACGAGGAGTATGAATATGTCAGCTATGTTAAGGTCCTGATTGTAATATAATTATGCTGTATTATGATTATTCTGTTACTTCATTATTAATTGCTAGTTATCTGCTCTTTTTGAGAATTAGGATACAATCTTATTATCTAATGCAATATGTTTTTTTAAAGAATATCTATTGCAATATACTACTAGCTGGAGAAAAAAGCTAATTAAAGACATATGATCAGCCTGGAAAAAAAATTAAAAGCCAATGGCAAAAGTATAAGAAGTTTACAAATATAGTGGATTGCAATAAATTAAAAAAAATATATCCGCTCTCTTTAGCAGTAAAAAAATCATGCATGACACTGAGCTAGGGGAACCCAAGAAAAAACTTTGCTAGCTTTTTCGGCACTTGAATACATGACTGAGCAGCATGAAATTAAAAAAAAAGTGTTTATTGGGCAAAATCATGCAACTAATACTTGTAAAACCTACATAAGCTTAAGTTAAACTAATTGACTTGATAATATAGCATCATTTCAAAGAAGCCACTATAGTGCGATCCAAACGACCTTTTTGTAGCTTCTGGTATTGCTTAAGCATATTAAATATCACAAATCGGAAAACAGCAAATTGAGAAAATGGGTTTCAACAAAGAATGATAATGTCATTAACATTTAAAAAAATTTCAAACCTAACTGAAATAAATGCTCAGAATTACTATTGACAAGTATTATTTAAAAATGATCTAATTTTCAGCATGCGACAAAGAATCGAACTTTATACTGATTTTGAATCATAACTTCATGCTGCTTTCATTTTGGCCAGCTTCTACCAATTTCCAAACAAATAAATAAAATAATAATAGTAATAATAAACAACTTCAGTCTTACCAAATTAGAGATGATCCTTAGTGCCGTCTTCACAAGCTGCAAACTAGAATTTAGTTTCAAAATATAAATAAATAAATAAAGAGAGAAAACTGCTGGAAGAAATGAAACAAACAGGTGACGGGCATTACCAAAGAATACTAAAGGGTTTACCCTATTGACATTCCTTAAAGAATCCCTCCGTTAATGGCACCCTGAAAATTCTCTATTTAAAAAAAAAAAACAGTTTCAGAATTAGAAATAATGATTCTGTTAGAGGAAATAAAACAAACACATGGTGGGCATTACAAAAAAAAACAAATGATGTTGACCCTATTAAATTCCATCAAGAATCGAAATATAATTCTAGGTTTTCTCGGCATTGCATGATGCATTGAAGCGTGGAATCCCACGACTTCTCGCAATTTCCTCTTCTTTGATCCATCTCAAGGGGAGAGTAACTACTTGCAAATAGCTTCGAAGTAAAATGATACGTTTCTCTTTGAATTAAATGGGTTTTTGCATATAGGCCTTCAATGTCTATCATATTTGCAAATTTCCTTCTTATTATGGATTGTTACTGTGTTACCTTCTAATTCTTCAACATTGGTTTTCTTCCGCCTTTCACTTTTCAAAGTCACTAATATATTAGTTTATTAATTTTATAATTAAATTAAGAGAGGTGGGTTTTTTTTGACATTTATCAAAGTGAAATACGAAAAAGTTGCTATAGAAATGCAATTTTAACTATATTTATTTATAAATCCTATTATGTCACATCATCATCACTTTATAACTCTTAATAATAATTTATTTTTGCAAACAAATATTAAAAGCCACTTGCATGCTGATGTTAATGTGAAAGTTATTTGTAAATATCTTTCGCACTTTCATTTCACTTTCAATTTTCCAAACACCCCTGCTCGACTCTGCTCTTCATGTAATCATAAATTAGGAAAGTTTAACTTAACTGGAGATATATTAGTGATTAAAAATTGAGGGGTTAAAATATTCAATGTGAGAGATTTGGGCTAATTAGCAAATATTCAGACTGAGAGTGAGTTCAGAAATGCGGAAAATGTTAGGGTACGTGTGAAAAAACACTCAAAATTATGATTCCAAGGGTGAAACAGTTCTTTAGGGTGTAGATTTTTGTTATTTAACCTTAGTTTTTTTTTCCCCCTCTCTAGAAATCACCTTTAAAATAGGGTCAACCTTTGTTTTCAATTTACATGTAGATCACATCTAAACAGTTATTGTTGTGATCAACCACTTGAGCCAACTTTTAAGTCAAGTTCCTTCGGTGATTTCCCCCATCTAATCTCAATTAAGGATAATCTATCAAATATACTTCGTATTGAACAATTAACCGAGTATTATAGCAAAATTAAAAAAACTTGACTTAAAAGTTAGTTCTGGGGGTTGATTGTAATACAAAATCATTTAAAGGTAGTTTAAGACCTAGATTAAAAAGTGTCTTAGGGGGAGGGGGGGGGGGGGGGGAGGGGGGAACCTATAAACTATTAATTATAAGTGACCAAAAAAAAATTGGAGAATCCCAACTTATCTTTTTTTCTACTTTACAAGTTAAAAATAACTAATAAGTATAGTCTTACCAAACATGATTTTGGCACCTTATAAGTAAAATAATACTTATAAGTGAAAATAAGTATGTTGCCAAACATGCACTCCTAGGTCTAGATGTTTGTTCAGAGTGAAGATTTGGGAAGTACGCGGTGAAGCTATATTGATTCCGGGTATTTTATTAGGGTTTAGATTTCAGGGTAGTAATTTTATAATAATGTTATGAATTTAGCTATTTGGGTTGTAGATTTGTTATTTTTCCAGTTAAAAATAATTTTATAACTTTTCTGTTTTATTTTGTGCACCATGGTTTTTATTTACAGGAAGACCATTTTAATAAGAATAATTATAACTATACTACTCCACTTACACTTCTTTACAGTACAAGAGAGAAAAGTGTGGAGTCAATTCTCTTTAAAAATTTTTCAAAATTAGTGACTCATCAAGGAATCTCACTTTCTCTTGTAATATGAGAATAGTGTAGTAAAGTATTGTGTAGTTATCATTATTCTTTTATTAAAGTTTTTATTATTAACATAGAACAAATGTCCATTAGCATATTTTGAGAGCAGATCATCTAATTACAAAATTTTACCTGTTGCGCATCCTTTTTTTTTTTAATCAATAAATTTCACAATAGAAATATGTGAATTCGTTTCATATTTTCTGAACGTTTTGTATGACAATTTCGTAGCTACTTGTTTTAAAATTGTAAATATTTGAGATCAAAGGGACTTGTTTTTCTGTAGAAATTGTAATTGTAACTGCAAAGAAATAGGGTATAGGGGATGTCTGGTCTGCTACAAACATAAAGTGTAGCAAATGCTGCAGCGAAAAAGGTTGCATGCAACTTTTGTGGCAAGAAATTAACTTTTAAAGATATTGTTTGAAGGTATTTCAGTTTTATTGTGAAGAATGTATCTGCAATACAAAATCAATGTAAGGTTGAAAATAATCAGCAATTGACAACAGAAGCAAGAACACCTCCAAATCCTATAGGATCTTAACAAAGGTTTAGCATCAAATTAATTAAAAAAAACTTCAACATGTTTGCTACTGACCACAACATCCTATATAGCAAGTCTGTTAGTTTTTCCAATATTTTCAATATGGAACTTACTCGAACATGAATTCTAACTGATGCATATACCAGAATGTCGAACATAACAATTAACATAACCCAAATGTTTCTTAACTTATGTTCAGTATTCAAGGCATCCAAATTACAGATAACTTAAAAGAACATTTTAATACAGTTTACACTTATTTACAGAGTCACAGCATAAACCAATTTGCAGAGATTTAGGGAGAAAATATCATGTACATGACAATTGAATTGGTCAATTGGCTACGGGTCAGGTTTACCGACCACTGCCTCATCACTTGAATCATACTCATCTTCGGATAGCTCTTCATCACTAGACACATCTTCAGTTGGAGCCCCAATATCCTCAGGCTTTGCATATTTTTCACAGTATTCTGGAGCAAAAGATGAAGCACATGTGAGTTATAAAATCTTGGTAGATTTAATTGTCAAATTTACATAAAAGAGCTTTTTTACTGAGCTGAGCCTAAGTCAAGTTTCCGAATTTTGGAACTTTCATACACCGACAATCGGGGTATCATGTTTAAATTAAAAAATTAGATAAAAATAAAATCGCATTAAGCGGACTCACATTTAAATGCATCATGATGTATGGTGTTTATGATACAGGTTCAGACGTTTTGGCTAGTAAACTCTTTTGAAGGAAATATCATGTACACGACATTATGATGTACAGTGTTTATGATCCTCAAGTTGGCATGTTGGCTTAATCATTATATATAGAAGAATTACTATGAACTTCAAAAGTTACTCTTAACGCTTCTTCTCTAAACGTCTTTGTACAATAAATTATATTCATGTTGTTTGGCAAAATATCAAAGAATTATTTCTGATCTGCGTACAAATCCTTTTACTATGGTATGTATACAACAAAATTTATCATCATCTCCCGAATAGCTGTACAGCAAGCAACTCCCAACAGAAGCAATACTTGCAGAAAGATTTATGGATATCTAATTTAAGCAGAGAATGAAGAATTGGAAAAGGTGCTAATATATGATATAAAGTTATAAACCAGTAAAGAAAAAGGAACTGGTTCTAGTTGCCTCAATGAGAAGTGGATATTTTAAATATAGTTTATCTCGATGAGAAGTGGGTATTTTCAATATAGTTTACGAGAAGTGGGTATTGCTACCACTATAAATCGTGTTGGATCATAACATATACATGGACACAAGACAGAAAGGTTTCTTTTTTATCATTTTAGGGGACCAAGATCTGGTATATCATGTGGCTTTTAGATTTCTCTAAAGCCAACTTGACTTTAATGTGCAGTTATTTCTTAATCTGCTACAGCACATATTCTGTAATAACTTAATCCGTTACAATTCTAGCACTTTCGGTGTGTCTGATGAGTGTCTTGGACTGCCGACATTCAAAAGTTATCTCCATGTAGTTCAGAAAGACATTTCAAATGTGTTTGTTCCTGATAGGCAATACCCATCACAACCAAAGCACTTGCTCAGAAAATCTTGAGGCATGCAAGGTTAGACAACCACCACAAGTATAAAATATTTGCAGGGCTTCAATCGACACAAACACATAACATGTGCATGATACAGTTTATCAACATGTCACGAATACAACCCCGATTATGTGGATAATGTTTTGTCAAATCAAAGAACACAAACAATAAAAATTACTCAAGTTGGCATGTTGGCTTAACCCTTATATGTAGAAGAATTACTATGAACTTCAAAAGTTAGTAATGAGGACAATAATGGCAATTTCCATATTTGTTATTTGACTTTTTTTATTTTAGTTTTGAATAAGGAAGATTTGGCAAGTTTGCTCAGATCTTAATTTAGTTTTAATTGTGAGAAATTTGAGGGATTTTTTCTATTTTGGTAGAATTTTGAATTTTGAATTTTAGGTCAAATTTAGTAGTTAATCAGTTTTTAGTATCCGAGTGATTTGAGGAATCTAATTGATTTTGAGAGATTTTGTTAGCTAATTTTGTGTGAAGCCGAATGTTAGTGTGAAGCCTCGGGTGTGAATCCCTAGGCCGAATCTTCTTCTCCTCTTCACAGTCGCCAATCTCCCACAAAAACGCCACGTCCACCCCTAATCCCCTCCCCTTCAGGCCATCCGACTTTCTCCACCTACAAACATCCCGCCAAAACACCCTGCTGCATCCTTCAACGAAGTCGCCGCCCCTTGCTCCACAAGCTGCCAACCTTCCCTGCCCTGCCCTCCTTCCCACCGAGCAGCCCCACCAGCACTTCCACAAGCCGCGCCTCCTTCCCCTGCTCCCCTCCATCCTCAGGTAGCCCCGACACCTAGCCCCGTCTCCCTACCACCTCTACATCAACCGCAAAAACCCCAACTCATCGCTTGCGTCATTCCCTCTTCCGAACAGCAACCGACCCTGATCCCCTCCTCCACAGCCGCCTACCCACGGGTCATCACATCACCCTAGCCCCGTCGACCTCGTCGTCATTCAGTTCGCCGCCGTCGTCGTCGATTAGTTCGTCGCCGTCATCGTGACCAATTCGATGCCGTTGTCGTCGCCAGTTCATCCGTCGACCGTCACCACTTATAGCCCAATAAATTATTTTTTTGTTAATCTCGTTTTATTAGTTAATTGCATGAGTATTCCACCTCTAAACTCTTATCATATATTTACTACTTAGATTATATTTGTAAGTTAAGAGTAATTGAACATGTGACTGTTTAAATTTGATATTGATTGTATAACTTGAGCATGATAATGAATATTGCAGCTAAATTGATCGAGATTGGAATTAATCATAACTATTAATGCAAATTTCGTTAAATTCATCTGTCACATTAGTTGTTTTGAATTTAAATTCCTGCCAAAGATCATGAAATTTGGTGAAACGGTGCGTTATTCGATTTAAATCGCTGATTCTGATAGACCACTGCCTCGTTTCACATCATTTTTGGTATCATAGCATGGTTCTAGTTCAGAAAAAAATTTATTTATTTCTAGATTAGTTTAATTGAGTCTTTTATTTGTTATCAAAAAATTACCATTCATCTCATTTAGTTGTTAGTGCATGCCCACTCGCACAGGTCTACCCTATTGATTAGGAGTCTAGTGAATTGTCTAGTGAGTCCAGCATGTCAGGCAGTACAAATCTCGTACTCTTTAAGAAATTCGATGAGCTAGCAGGACAACTAAGTGCCATAGCCCAGGAATGTAGAGCTACCCGCGAGGCCCTGACAGACTTCTAAAATGTAGCCAACAAGAGGCTCGCTAGGCTTGACGAAGCGCGCGTTACAACTCCGCCTCCGCAAGGTCAAGGTTATGGACACATCGTTCATCGACCCCCACCTCAACCCGTGCCTGATCCGGATGCTCAATACCTGAGGAGCATTAAGATCGAAGCACCAACCTTTGATAGTAAGCTCGATCCACAAGTTTTTTTGGATTGGTTAAAGAACATGGATCGCTATTTTGACGGGTATGCTCTGACGGAACCCCGGAAAGTCTAGTTTGCAGCAATAAAGCTTACTGGACCAGCTTGCCAATATTGGTCCAAACTCGAAATGTTAAGGTATATTAGAGGTGAGTTACCAATTTTAACTTGGCGAAAAATGACCGACGAGCTAAAAAAAATATCTCCCTCCAGTTAAAATTAATAAGCCACCTATAACGGAAACAAAATCTATTCTTGAGGAAATCGTTAACCAAGTTGTAGACCTGACAAAATCAACTCTGACAAGAAAATCCGGGATAATAAAATTAAAAAACCATGCACTTTCGTTTCTTCTGAAACTACCCCTGCAATTGTGGAATTGACTGAAATTTCATGCAATAACGACACTCCGATTATTCCCCAAACTACTCATTTGATCACGGAGTTCACTGATATTGTCTCTGAAGTTGTTCCTGAAATTGAAACTCCAACTCCACTTGAACTCACTCTAGTGATTGAAAACATTGTTGATGTTCCCCACGAAGTCCTCCCGGACAAACATGAATTTCTACATAACACCCAATACGTTCACTTAGATATCTGTATGGAAGTTGAATCCCAAACTGAGCATAGTGAAATAACTCTCATATTAGATATCAAACCACCATGCATTGTCCTGACAGTCACTTACACATACACTAATCCATTTTGGAAATATATAGTGATTAGGGATACAAGTTTGAGCACAAGCGTTTTCATTGATATTCGACCTAAGCTTGACATTTTAAATAAACCGCATACCTTGCAGTGTATTACTTTTCTCTCTTATGTTAAGCGCACAAAAACACTTCTTTTTCATGCATTTGTTTGCATGTTCCTCACTATCACTGTTAGAACAGGAAATTTGTTATGTGTATTAACGAAGGAACGCCTAATTATTTTGTTTGATAAAGGACGTACGAAGGAACGCCTAATTATTTTGTTTGATAAAGGACGTCATGCATGTTAGACACTTCGTTGAGTTTACATCTGCCATTGATCGCATTGTCGAGTCTACATGTCCTACATAGTCATTTGAGTTGATTTGCATCATTTTGTTTTGATTTGCATTAATCATATATTGGGGAATCAGTGATCTAATTTGAATAAATACATTGTTAACTGAAATGTATAATATGAAGTCAGGACATAATTTAAAACTGTTAATGTTTGAGATGATTTGGACTTGTCCAATACAGTTTCTTTTATAGATGTTTGAGATTTGACATTATATTTATAAACTTTTCCAACTCTTAATATAATTAATGACAACATTTATATTATCGATTTGGTCATAGTTCTATTCTCAATATTGATTGATTAAGCAGTTCACAATATTTATTGACAGTCCACTGATATAAGTCTGATCCTAGGCTAGCCTATAGTTTCTGAGAGTTCTACTTTACCTCAATTCCATATATTCACCCATGCAGCAGTGAATTTTGATAATATTTTAGATGGTGAATTTACGATGCAATCTAGCTAATGATTTGAGATGCAAGAAAGTAACTAACGATAGATTAAGATGCAGGCAGAGTATATTAAAGATAAATTTTTGTAACTAACTCGACGGAGTCGAGTTTTCTCCTACTCGAGGAGAATGATGAGGACAATAATGGCAATTTCTATATTTTTATTTGACTTTCTTTTATTTTAGTTTTGAATAATGAATATTTGGCAAGTTTGATCAGATCTTAATTTAGTATTAATTGTGAGAAATTTAAGGGATTTTTTTATTTTGGTAGGATTTTAATTTTTGAATTTTTGGTCAAGTTTAGTAGTTAATCAGTTTTTAGTATCTGAGTGATTTGAGGAATCTGATTGATTTTGAGAGATTTTGTAATTACTCTATAAAAGCACTGTTGTAATCAGAATGAAAGAATAATGAAGAATTAAATAAAATATTTTGTTAGCTAATTTTGTGTGAAGCCAATTGTTGGTGTGAAGCCTCG